TTAGGCCGGTCCACTGCCCAATTCAAACGTGCGGCGAGATCGATCGATCGTTACTAGGCGCGCAGAGAGTTGTAACGATCGATCGATCTCGCCGCACGTTTGAATTGGGCAGTGGACCGGCCTAAGGCAGCGATTTTTAATAATTAATAACTCGTTAACTATTGCAAAACCTGCAAAGTGATACAGGACTTTTCGACTTAGTCTAGTCCACTCTATCCCACAATAAGCGTTGATGCGGATATTACATAACACCCTGTATATACACGGCGAGAATTATCTCTCAAAATTTACCCCGAAAATCGTGGGACAACGTGGCATTTTGAAGACCTTATTAGAGTTTTCTGAAATATAATTATTGCTAATAAAATGCATAAAATTTCACAAAACTCACAAAGTCGTTCAAAATGCCGCGTTGTCTCTCTAATAAAGGAAAAACTTGATTTATTTATCGGGTTCGATCGTAAATTTGATACTTTATTTAATTGAGAGACCTTTATACTTAAGCTTCTCGAAGCCGATAACTTTTAACCGAATCACGATACTTCATGGAAACTTTTTAATATAATTCTCAAATTTTTCGAGCAATCGACTTTAATGCAAAAAAATCGCGACTCTCCCTCAGGATTAAACAGTTTTCTAAGTTCTTCCTCATTGCCGTTGTAGTTCGCGTCGGTTCTCCTTTGGCTCCTCCCCCCCCCCCTCTCTCTCTCTCTCTCTCTCTCTCTCTCTCTCTCTCTCTCTCTCTCTCTCTCTCTGGGATTATCAGACGCAAAAATCGTTATTTAATACCCCCGTGTGAAATCCAAAGGGGGTGTACTCTGTCCTCTCGAACACAATATCGTAAATTCACCGTTTAATTGCGCCCGCGAGGATCCGCTTTTACTATCGGGGCCTTACAGATTAACCCTACTCAAACCAGTTGTTTCGCCTCGCGTTCCCAATCTCCCGCGCTATGTTCTTTCAACGTCCCTCAAGAATCACCTTGTCCGGCGAGCGAAAACAAACGGCCGATGTTTCGCACGGGGAAGAAGGAAATTATTATTATTACTACTGCGCGATTAGCGTTTAGCGTTAAATGTATGGCATTTTATTGCCTATCCCTTTACCGTTATCCATTCCTTGTACAAGGCAATAAATGAAATATTTATCACACGCCGAACGAGTGGTACACCATTTCTGAATCACGGACAGTAAAGTATTCCTAGCGCACGGTCCAAGTTCATCGCGAGTATATTGCTATTCGGTCGCGTGTTGCGTAACGCGACGAGATTGGAGAGAGTCCGGTAATGCGGCTGCTCGCCATCGGCAATACGGATATTCCGGAGTGTAAATCAAGTCAGATTAGAATAGAGGGTTAAGGTGTGCCTTCGATAGCGGTTGTACGACAATCGAACCTGCGAACCCGCAGTCGCCAGGTCGAACCGGGGGGAGGGGGGGGGAGGGGCTGTCTCGTAAATTACTGAAGGAATCAATATCGATTCCCTCTCTCTGCCACCGAATACCCTCTAGAGAGAAGGTTTTATAGGAGGGAAGAGGGGGGGAGGGGGGCAGGAATTCTGCGAACTGCCTTTTACCAAGAATCACAATCCGAGACTAATTCCACTTCGAAACTCCTAAGTGACTGTAGTAAAGAAATTACACTGATGACCGATTGGTATTTTGAATAATAATGAAAAACAGAAGAAAAAACACGTAAAAGTAACAAGGCGGGCTAAGAAAGTACATAATATTAATTGGATAAAAATCTCTCGCGTGTCTCAAAATTGAATAGAAATTAACGAGTGTCACGCCGCGAGCAGAAACGGAGCGTTTTAATAGAAGGTCCCCCATTATGAGATAGCGGAGTTTCGGCTAAATTAATAGACGTCATCTGTTGGTTCCACCATGAATTTATTGCTCTTGGAGCGAAATCCGTTTCGTGGAAAACTGATCGTTAGAACGTGTAATCGTTGCGAAAAAAGATTTGTTGTGATTGAATTTGGACGTTGAAACCTGCTATCTCACATTCGAATTCTATCTCATAATAGAGGACTTTCCTCCATTTTTCTCCTGCGTTTGAAGACGTAGAGAAGAGAGAGAGAGAAGAGACG